AATAGGTAAACTATATTCAGCACAATACGGGGACTTTAACCCCTTACTGACTCGCCTCTGTTCAGATGAGATGCACCATGTGGCCAAAAGTCTGTGGACACCCGGCCATCACAACTAAATCAGCTTGTTGGCCATCCCATTCCCGAACCATGAGCATTAATATGGGTTTGGTCCTCCCTTTGCCGTTAGAACATCCTCCGCTCTTTTGGAAAGGCTTAACACAACATTTTGGAGGGTGTCTGTGGGATCCTTGTGTCAAAAGACTTCATGGACACGAGTCAAACCATGGCAGGAGAAGATGGGGGTGATCAAGGTCGAGGCAGCAGAAGGTGGTGACAGTTAAGGCCAAGGCAGCAGAATATGAGGGTGATCAAGGGCAAGGCAGCAGAATATGGGGGTGATCAAGGCAGAGGCAGCAGAATATGGGGGTGATCAAGGCCGAGGCAGGAGAAGATGGGGGTGATCAAGGCAGAGGCAGCAGAATATGGGAGTGATCAAGGCCAAGGCAGGAGAAGATGGGGGTGATCAAGGCTGAGGCAGGAGAAGATGGGGGTGATCAAGGCCGAGGCAGGAGAAGATGGGGGTGATCAAGGCCGAGGCAGGAGAAGATGGGGGTGATCAAGGCCGAGGCAGGAGAAGATGGGGGTGATCAAGGCCGAGGCAGGAGAAGATGGGGGTGATCAAGGCCGAGGCAGGAGAAGATGGGGGTGATCAAGGCCGAGGCAGGAGAAGATGGGGGTGATCAAGGCCGAGGCAGGAGAAGATGGGGGTGATCAAGGCCGAGGCAGGAGAAGATGGGGGTGATCAAGGCCGAGGCAGGAGAAGATGGGGGTGATCAAGGCCGAGGCAGGAGAAGATGGGGGTGATCAAGGCCGAGGCAGGAGAAGATGGGGGTGATCAAGGCCGAGGCAGGAGAAGATGGGGGTGATCAAGGCCGAGGCAGGAGAAGATGGGGGTGATCAAGGCCGAGGCAGGAGAAGATGGGGGTGATCAAGGCCGAGGCAGGAGAAGATGGGGGTGATCAAGGCCGAGGCAGGAGAAGATGGGGGTGATCAAGGCCGAGGCAGGAGAAGATGGGGGTGATCAAGGCCGAGGCAGGAGAAGATGGGGGTGATCAAGGCCGAGGCAGGAGAAGATGGGGGTGATCAAGGCCGAGGCAGGAGAAGATGGGGGTGATCAATGCCAAAGCAGGAGAAGATGGGGGTGATCAAGGCCAAGGCAGGAGAAGATGGGGGTGATCAAGGCCGAGGCAGGAGAAGATGGGGGTGATCAAGGCCGAGGCAGGAGAAGATGAGGGTGATCAATTCCAAAGCAGGAGAAGATGGGGTGATCAAGATCGAAGCAGGAGAAGATGGGGTGATCAAGGCCGAGGCTGTGGGGAATTCAGCTGGAGCAAGAGCCACGGCTTCTTCTGCATCGCCCTCCAGCCGTGTTCTTCACTTTGCAAGACTGAGCTGTCATACTGACAGGAAGAGTTAGCAGGTGGTGAGAAAACCGAAACCTTAAAGAAGGTGTAGACCCTCTGAATGACAGTATTCAGTGTTGTGCATCATAAACTTTTTGAAATGATAGTTTTTGATTTCTTTTTGGCATCTCAATGCTGCTTTTCTCTCCGTCACTGCTCTGGATTGGCTTCCCAAAATGGTGGACCATTGGTGGAATGTAGTCTTCACTTGGGGATGGGTTCTGAGTTCGGATCTAACCAAAAAAATGTAACTCAAACCCAAGCTGTTCACTATCCGTTGATTTTGCCAGATTGGCCACCTGTTGAAACCCACCTTTTGCGTCCTAGCAACCAATGACGGTGTGTGGACCTCACAGCGTCATTGGTTGACTGATGCCCCTGGGATGCCAGCTTCTTAGCATCCAATGATGGTGTGCGGCCCTCACAGCGTCATTGGTTGACTGGTGCCCGTGGACAAGTGATGGTGTGCAGCCCTCACAGGGTCATTGGATGACTGGTGCCTGATGCTAGGATGCAGGTGGGCCCACCATAACAACCTATGATGCTGTGGGGCCGCCAGCTTCTTAGCATCCAATGATGGTGTGCGGCCCTCACAGCGTCATTGGTTGACTGATGCCCCTGGGCTGCCAGCTTCTTAGCATCCAATGATGGTGTGCGGCCCTCACAGCGTCATTGGTTGACTGATGCTCCTGGGCCAGTGATGGTGTGCAGCCCTCACAGGGTCATTGGTTGACTGGTGCCTGATGCTAGGATGCAGGTGGGCCCACCATAACAACCTATGATGCTGTGGGGCCGCCAGCTTCTTAGCATCCAATGATGGTGTGCGGCCCTCACAGCGTCATTGGTTGACTGATGCCCCTGGGCTGCCAGCTTCTTAGCATCCAATGATGGTGTGCGGCCCTCACAGCGTCATTGGTTGACTGATGCTCCTGGGCCAGTGATGGTGTGCAGCCCTCACAGGGTCATTGGTTGACTGGTGCCTGATGCTAGGATGCAGGTGGGCCCACCATAACAACCTATGATGCAGTAGGGCCGCCAGCTT